TTTTTGGGACAGAGAGAGACAGAGCATGAATGGGGGAGGGGCAGAGAGAGAGGGAGACACAGAATCGGAAACGGGCTCCAGGCTCTGAGCCATCAGCCCAGAGCCTGACGCGGGGCTCGAACTCACGGACCGCGAGATCGTGACCTGGCTGAAGTCGGACGCTTAACCGACTGCGCCACCCAGGCGCGCCATGGTTTTATTTTTTCATTATCGCTTCGTATCTAGCTATTACTCAGTGCATCTTCCTCCAGTCCTAAATTATAACTCCATAAGGGTAGAGGTAGTGTCTTACTCATCTTAGTACACACAATGCTAGAAGGCCCACGAATGTAGTATATGTTGAGAAACTATTTGAATAAATTTCAGGAGTGCCTGGGTGGCTCAGTCGGTTAAGTGTCCAGCGCTTGATTTGGGCTCAGGTCATGATCTCACAGTTGTGGGATTTGAGCCCTGCTTCAAAGGCTCTGTGCTGACATTGTGGAGCCTGCTTGAGATTCTCTCTCTCTCCCTCTCTATTTGCCCCTCCCCTGCATACACATGCATATGTTCTCTCTCTCTTTCTGAAAATAAATAAACTTAAAAAAAAAGTGAATAAATTTCAAATGGAATACAGGGTGAGATTTATGTATTTTATATATGATGAAATATGTATTTTATATATGATGAAATAAAGCATTAAAAGTTTTGCTAAGATTTTGAATAAAAAAATAAGCTAGGGCTGTGAAGGATTTCTTGTTACGTGAGAAACTTCGGAACTTGCAGTGTTACTGTGAATAGGACCTTTATCTAGCATACACAAGCCATGGTAATTCTTGACCTTCTACTTTTTACTTACTGTGTTACGTTTCCTAGGGTTTTTTTTTGTTTTTACCTAACATTTCATCGGTTATTTATTTACAAACACATTCTGTTACTGTCTCTCCAGAATCTCTCCTCTTACAAGCCAGAATGGCTGTGTAGAGACCTGTGACTCTTGGAATGTTTAAATAGAGTAGTTTTTTACGTGGTAGCTGCTGATCTCTTCTGAAAGCAGGGACTGATTGCTTTTCCATTTGTATACTGTTTTTCTCCCCTAGCTTTTCTTCCAGTGTTCCAGGCCTCATACATAAAATAAACGTGTGATTGTAAATTAACACCAACTTTAGTTATGGAAATGAAGTTAGCAGGAAAAAAAGCTTTTGTGTTTACAGTTTTTGTTTTGTTTGTTTTTGGCCTTTTTTTTTTTTTTAACATTAAGCTCTATGCCCAGCTTGGGGCTTAAACTCACAACCCTGAGATCAAGAGTCAACATGCTGTGTGGACTGAGCCAGCCAAGCACCTTGGTCACTTAATTGTCTTTTCCTTAGAAAGAAAATTAGAGACGCTGATACATATATTTGCACGTGTTTCTGTCAGCACATACATTTAGAATAGGAAAAGTACTGATTCCACTTGTGTTAAAACCGATACTTGTATATTTACAAGCTTTAGACGAAAAATGTAAATAAAAAAAAAATAAAAGTCTATTAGGATGAAGTAATTTATGCATATGTAGTTGACATAAAATAGTATTCAGTACAAGTACAAACTCCCAGTTATAAAAAAAAAAATGGCATTCATTTCTGTTCTCAAACTAATAACTTGAACTTATAGTTTCTATCATTTTTTATTTATCCAAATTCAGTTTTTTAATGTATGGGAATTCTTTTCTTTGCTTTTGTTTTTTTTTTTAACGTTTATTTTTGACAGAGAGCGTGAATGGGGTAGAGGCAGAGAGAAGGAGGGAGAGGGAAAGGGGGAGAGAGAGAGAGAGAGAATGAATGAATGAATGAATGAATGAATCTGAAGCAGGCTCCAGGCTCTGAGCTGTCAGCACAGAGCCTGATGCGGGGCTCGAACTCACAAACCATGAGATCGTGACTTAGCCGAAGTCGTATGCTTAACCGACTGAGGCGCCCCTGTTATGCTACTGCATTCTTTTTTTTTTTTTTTCTAAGGAAAGGAACTTTATTTCATGGAAAAAAAAAATCTGGGAGGGATTTTTCTGAACCAAAATCCACTGGAGAACAGCAAGAGATCAGAGTGATGACAGTTTCTCACTGGCTGCATCACAGTCGTGATCAGTACCCCGATGGGCTCTGTAAATGATACTGAGTGGTAGGGCTCCCCCTTCTAGTGTCCCTGCTCTCTTTTAGCTATGTTTCCCTTTATTCTCACACTTACTAGTGGTTTTGTGGCCCAGCTGAACTTAACACAAGCTCAGATGTGCTTTATCTGATACTGTGGAAGGTATGGGGTGTGGATTGACCCACCAGGGTTCAAATCTGACTGCACACAGGAGTTACCTGCCAACCTCCAAGAGCCAGGTTGTGCCCCTCTGTGGCATTCAGTGTGGAGTTGGGCTGGCTGCAAAGAGGAGGTGTCCCACAGGGTCTCCCCTCCACAGCGCACCTTGGTCCCTGCGACACAGATGCGTCTCCCAGGCTGATGGGTGGTGGGGGACCAGAAACACCCACACGTGGATGACTTAGCCCACCAGCTTATTGAGCACTTAGAGCAGAACTTCCCTCCTGCTGTGGTCCTGGTGGTGTGGGCCTTGGGGTTGGGGTGCCTGTGTCTCTGCACCCCGAGTTGTTATGCTACTACATTCTTATAGTTATTCCATGTAGGTCTTATTTTTCTTATAAGGTGGTAAGTGATTGGAGGTTAGAAAATATCTCAGTATTTATTCATTCATTTAATCATTTTTGCTTTTATTCATTCAGTAACTATTTATTTAGTATTTATTCTGTTCAAGGCTCTAGGCTAAGTTCTGGGAATATAGTGATAGACAAGACAGACATTGTCTTCATGAAATAACATTTTTGTATTCTCCCAAGTGCCTTAAGCTTAGTATTACTCTTATTACTAATAATTAATAATAACAGTTAATACAACGTGATTAAAAGTGAAGGGTCTGAAGTTCAACTGTTTTAGTATTAATCCTAATTATTCTGTTTACTAACTACCAGCATACTACTTATTCTTTCTGTGCTTTTGTTACATCATATATAGTGGATTTGGTGGGAGGAAAGTCTTAGGTTGAGCCATGTGAATTTTTTCCGTAGGTCTAAAAACAGCTGAATATCAGAAACTGCAGACATTCAACCCAATATAATTAAAGCTTTTAGAACGATGTCCAGCACACGGTGTTAATATGTAGGAACCTTTTAGCTGCAGTTGAAGAAATTTGGACACATTGTGAAATTTCTAAAATTTGATATTCTTTATAACTCATTTGGTCTCCTTTTAAAAAATATTTTTGAGAGGCGCCTGGGTGGCTCAGTCGGTTGGGCATCCGCCTTCGGCTCAGGTCATGATCTCGCGGTCCGTGAGTTCGAGCCCCACGTCGGGCTCTGTGCTGACAGCTCGGAGCCTGGAGCCTGTTTCAGATTCTGTGTCTCCCTCTTGCTCTGCCCTTCCCCTGCTCATGCTCTGTCTCTCTCTGTCTCAAAAATAAATAAACGTTAAAAAAATTAAAAAAAATAAAATAAAAAATATTTTTGAGTATGGTTGACACACACTGTTACATTAGTCTTAGGTAAACAACATAGTGATTCAGCTTCTCTATATGTTATGCTATGCTCACCACAAGCGTAGCTGCCGTATGTTATCATAGAATGCTATTACAGCATCATTGACTATATTCCCTGTGCTGTGCCTTTTATTGCTGTGATGTGTTCATTCCTTAACTGGAAGCCTGCGTCCCCCTCTTGCCTTTTCACTTTGCCCATACCCCCTACCACCACCCCCCCTTCCCTGGCAGCTGTCTCTTCTCTATTTATTGGTCTGATTCTGCTTTTTAAAATTTGTTTATTCATTTCCTTTTTTAGATTCCACTTATGAGTGAAATCATGTATTTATTTTTCTCAGATTTACTTCACTTAGTCCATTCATTTTGTTGCAAATGGCACAATACCATCCTTTTTTAAGGCGGTGTAATACTCCATTGTACACGTATACCCCATGTTCTTTTTTTTTTTTTTTTTTAATTTTTTTTTCAACGTTTATTTATTTTTGGGACAGAGAGAGACAGAGCATGAACGGGGGAAGGGCAGAGAGAGAGGGAGACACAGAATCGGAAACGGGCTCCAGGCTCTGAGCCATCAGCCCAGAGCCTGACGTGGGGCTCGAACTCACGGACCGCGAGATCGTGACCTGGCTGAAGTCGGACGCTTAACCGACTGCGCCACCCAGGCGCCCCATACCCCATGTTCTTTATCCATTTGTCTGTTGATACTTAGATGGTTCCATATCTTGGCTATTGTAAATAATGCTGCAGTAAACATAGGAGTGCTTATATTTTTGTTTTGTTTTCTCTAGG